TCCTTGCAAATCTGACCGGCAGTACGCCCATTTTGCTCTGACTGCCAAAATTAACCTGGTGCAAATATATAGGAGTTCTTTCCAGACTCCAACTGACTTCTGCCGAAGCTCAGACTGTAGTACATGATCGGAAACGTTGGAAGTATTGTCTAACGCGTCTACTTAGGCGATCCGAAAGAAGCGGCCATTAAAGATGATTGAATGAACACAATCTCAAATGATGCGCAGACTTCTGCTTGCATGGCATGTCCATTCGTCTTTAGATTAGGCACAGTTGCTTTCTAGTTGCAAAGATCAGCTTTCACAGACGTACGGCTTAGGCCTGCTGTGATTCAAGCTTCATTTCATCGATTTATACGCTTGACATACCACACAATATGCATTTTGTATATTTTAAACATGCATCGAAATATCTCCAAGTTCATTTAGAAGTTCATCATAATATTGGCATCACTAAACCCTTGGATTCATCTCTACAGCTTTGTGGATAAATAAGGAGAAACATTAATTTGATGTCGGAAGCTGATAGTTCAGAATAATAAAATAAATTCACATCCTCAAACGCAATTAGTTCCTTTAAGTTAATCAACAGAAGCCAGGTAGTAGGTTCAGTTCTACTAGTAGGCCTGTCACGGTTTCACATATAAACCTGCGATTGCCATTACTTCATCTTGTGGTCAAAATGACTAATGCTGTTCAAGACGATTCAGTTTTGCAGGCAGTGAATAACAAATCCTTGACATACTTGAAAAGTCTCCATGCGTCCAGAAAAAATGGTACTTATGTCTAGTAAATCACAAGCAAGGGTATTTTTGATCAAAAGTAGCCACTTGTTTCTAGCTCAGCTCTGACGATGCTACGGTCCATGTAGCGAAATGCCTCGGGAACAAATTGTTTAGCCATCTTCAGCGTTTTGTGCATGAATCGATGAAACAGAACTCTATCGTTTAAACACCGACCTACAATCATAAACATCAACCTTGATTTATTTCTGCTCGAAACCATGTTTCTTGCTATTTTCAGCATGACCAAAGGAAGAACGTAATATTTAATCTCTGGCACATTACATAAATATAAAGGAAACAAAGACTACACATTTTTGAGGACCACAATATCTGCTCATTCAGTCATTCAATCGAGGCGATAAGGAACTCATGAAACAATGCCAATTAAACACATGACCTAAAGAACAAAGAAAATGATATTTGCAATTAAGCATAATCTTGTTGATCACATGTAGCCACCGCCCGACGCCGAGGTAAATCCTAAACCCATTCCACGGTGGGTGTGAGTTGTCCTCCGAGCGAGCTCATACTGCTGGTCCAGGTTCTGAAAAAGCT